TAGATACCCTTTCAATGGGTGAATGGTTAAACCAACCTTGGTAAACCCATAGCATGGAATACTACTCAGGATTAAAAGTTAGCAAACTGTTGATACAACAATCTAGATAACTTTCAAGTGAATAAGGCTGAGTAAAAATGCCTAACCTCAAAAGTTTACATGCTGTATGAGTCCATTTATATAACATCCTTAAAATGACAAAATTATAGAAATGAAGCACAGGTTAGTAGTTACCAAGGATTAAGGAGGGGTTGGGGGAAGGTGGGATGAGGATGTGAGAATAAGAAGTTGACATGAGTGATCCTTTTGGAGATAGAAATGCTCTGTATCTTGACTGCAATGTCAATATCCTGATTGTGATACTATACCATAGTTTTGCAATATGTTGCCATTTGGGGAAAAGTGGGTGAAGAGTACATGAGATCCCTCTGTATTATTTCTTACAAGCTCATGTGAATCTACAATTATCTCAAAATAATAAAAACACTAATTAAAAAAATCAATCAGTAAAATATATATACATACATATATACATATATATATGTATATATGTCAATTGTGTTAATGTTGAGAAACTCTGACTTAGAAGGAAAGCCAGACATACCAAATGAGGAAACTAAGAAGGGCTGTGAACCTGGTTGGGAAAAATTCAAGGAAGGTTTCACAGAATTCATCACATTTAGATTGAACCTTGAACAGGTTTCCAGGAGCAGAAGATGGGGGAACTTTTTGTTGTGAAGAATGGTCAAAAGATGTAATGTGGTGTCTCAAGGTATTCAGCAAGCAATGATGAGGTAGTCTGGTCCTAGATCAAGGGGGAACATTGAATAATAATAAGTGCTGAGTTTCAAGATGTGAGTTATAAATGTAAGGGGTTCCTTTAGCAGGGAAGCAAAGCTACTCTTACACTCCTGACACACAGCTTTAGGAGCAGGGAGAAAGCAATGGACCACCTCTTGGCCACTCCAGTAGGCTAACTAAACCTAGCAGTATGCATCCAGGGCTTCTTAACAGGTAGGGTTCACTCAGGCTCTCATAGACAGTGAGAGGCATGACCTGACCTTGGTTTCAGTAACATATCTGGTGGTTGTCGGCACCCGCATTAGAAAGGAGAGAAGTCAGAGACAAAGAAGACAGGAAATGATGAGGTCCTACACTGGGAAAATGGAAAATGGAACAGAAAGATTAGATGGATAATGGAGACATTTCAGGGGACCTGGAGACACCCAGCTTGGAAAGAGAAATCTGAGCTGGTTCTGAATGTCCTAGTCCAAGTTGGAGGTGCCACATCTCAGGATGTCCCTTCCTAAGATAAACACAGGAAGATAAACAGATGGGGGGAATTTGATTTGTTTGAGCTACATGAGGTGTGAGGTGCTGCTGGCAATGTCCAGGAGATAGCTGCAGATTTGTTCTATAGTTTGGGAGAGAGTATCAGACTGAAGATAAGGTCATCGGAGGTTGAATGAAGTCACTTGAGAAGAGGTTCAAGAACAGAATGTGGGAGAATATCAACATTCAAGTGAAGGAAAGTGTAGGAAGAGACCAGAAATGCAGGAGAAAATCTAGAAGACAAAACTCCGAAGCCCAGGAGAATCACGCAGAGGACGTTATATATAGTAGATCCCAGAGCTGCAAAGACATCCTTTGGGGTCAGACATGGGCGAAGGGCATCCAGTTGGACACTTAGGCAAAGAGTCATTGCAGAGGAGGACCTGGAAGGAGCAGAGCCGGATGTGAAGGGTGAGGGCACAGTCAAGAATCAGGCTGGGACTCTGCCAGCAGCTGCCACTAGACTTATTTTTTCAATATAATTTATAATACTATGATTAAAGCTATATTCCTCCCATTAATTTTCTAACACATGGTGAATGGTTCTCTAGCATCACTTTAATCATTATAGATGTTTGTAAAAAAAACAAAACTAGTGGACCCAAAGGGAATAACTGAGTGGTGAGGAAGCCTTTACCAGAGAGTTGGTCATTTTTAAGTCAAATCATTTGGTGTATATTTTGTTTAAATACAGCTTCCATTATTAGAAACTGATTATTGGTGGGTAAATGGAAATTTATATTTTAGCTTTGAACCTTTTTTTTAAATTTCAGAACTAGGTTATGAAATTTCTGTGTGTGTGTGTGTGTATTTCATGAAAAATTATGTATTTTGTGTTTTCCACTAGTTGATTAAGCTCTCTTATACCCAGTTCTGCTTTCAGTTGCATGCCTGTGAGTCTTACAGTAAAAGACTTTGGTTTCATCACCTCTGGGAATACCATGCAGTTGCAGAATATGAGATTTTAGAGGCCAAAACTAACTTGGTAGAAATTCAAATCCATCTTTTATCTTTTAGATAAAAGCCTTTGAAATCCTTTTAGTGTGAAGTTATCAGCAGGCTTGATTCTCATATAACCTCACTACTAACCCAAGGATTATTCAGAATGCATGGAGCATAATGCTTTGTGGCTGAAACTCCTTTTTTATCAATTCTACAGCCCAGTGATAAGCCACATGTGGTCCACCTCATCCTGCTTGGGAAATGCTACCTGCCTGCCCCCCACCCGCCTTGGAGATCACAATACACATTCAAGGCTCTCCTAAGTTGTGTCCTAAAGAAACCTGTTCAACTTTATTTGAATATTTCCAAAACTTATTTAACTGTAGAACCTTTTTTTTTTACGTTAACATTTCATAACTCACCTAGGGGTTCTGTAAGATAAGAAGTGGAATGGATTAACGCTTCAGATCTAGGATAGCTGCTGCTGGAAGTAATGGGGTGTTCTCAAAATATCTTTGTTTCATGGGTTAGATTTGGTGAGTGTAAGAAAATTTTTTATCTAGCCTCATCACTGATCATTTTTCTCTCCCCAGGATGGCAAGAATTAGTGTATTAGGTACTGGGCTTTCGCATATTTTCCCTGGAAAAAAAAAAAAAAAAGCTCATTAGTTATCTTTACAGTGGAATAAATTTCCAATTAATAAATTAAAAGAGAGTTTATTATGGACACAAAAGTAAGAACAAAAAATAGTTATATCAAGTTCACCAATTGTTATTCGAGGCTTACTTAAGACAAGAGAATTTAATACTTGGGGGACAAACCCAATTTCTAAAACTGAAACCATGTAATGGTTTACTTATTCCATAAATGTATGATCTTACCTACTCAGATTTACCTTTGGAGCAATAAAACCTCTGGCAGCTACTCCTGGTTGTCTGCATGAAGAGGAGACAGGAGATAAGAGCATTCCTGTCTTTATTGCTTTCTTGAACATCTGAAGGTGGGATGGGGTGGGAAAGGTGTACCTATCATGACCATAAATGTCCAAGTCTGATACCAAAGAAGTAAACCAGTCCTCTTTGGGAAACGTGGTAAATTTCTCAGGCTACCGGTCTCCATGTGTTAAAACCTGTCACAGGCTTAAAAAATCAGAGATCTTTTACCTCCTCTGCATCGGAAAAACAATCACTCCAACTTTAAAATATTTTAGGACTTTGGGAGGATCATTGCCAGGTGCAAAACTTTCAACTTTTCCTGTGAGCTCATAGGGTGGCCTTACTTACTTCACTTCCAAAGAGCTCTCCAGGACCCTGAGCTAGCTAGGGCTGTCTTGACCTGATTCCCACTGACAAAATTCTGGTCAGGGTGCAGTGTGGGGAAAGCATTTGGGGAAGGGCGTTGATCAAACTCAGCCCAGGTACACCCCCCAGTGGTATAATCATTAGGGAAATCGCTGTCCTTGGTAAGATTCAATCAGAGGCCACTCAGGTTCCTGTTTAGGGAGATTGTTAAAAATCCTGAATTTTCATGATTCCCAAGATGTGTCAGTGTGGTCTGTATTGGCTCATTCTCAAGGCCTAAAATTCTTAAGCTTCCTTCTTTGGACTTTAGTACCTTGGTTAAAAGCTGCCAAAATTGTGACAGAATATGGTGGGGGAATTTTTATTGCCTAATAAATAATATCATAGAAGGTCATAATTCTATATTAGCCACTAAATATCCAAAATGTATAAAGCATGCAAAATTGAGTCCAAGATATGGGTGAAAAACAGTTCGGTGACATTTCTTAAGAATTATTCATTTTCTTTTTCAATCTGAAAGTGGAGCAGGAACATTCTCCTAAATCCCAGGCTTAGAAAGCTGAACACTGCCTAGAGGCCTTAAAGAATTACTTTGACAAAGCCATTTTTCTTTAGTCTTTAAATTAGAAGTAGAAAAATTCTCCATGGTAGTTTGGAAGAAATCTTAAGTTTTTGGATTCCTAAGACTTTAAGGGATGTCTAGAAACTTATGTCATGGTCCGTCTACATCTGCCATCCTAGAAATCATACTAGGGAGAAATGATGCTCCTCAGTTTTGCAACACCTTCACCTGGGTTAAATTCTAGGATCCAACTATGCTCATTGTCAAGAAGTTCTTTCTTTTGGATAAAGTCATTTTCTGAAGATAAAATGAATCTATTTTTAATTGTTCAGCCCTTACAAGGGAATAGCTGTTTCCAAACACACACACACACACACACACACACACACACACTCCAGCATCTACTATAGTCTTTTAACTCCTTGAAAACCACTGTTACCTGCCTAACTTCTTTTTTTTTTTAACCTGTATTCTTTGAACTTTTTCACCCCTTTGTCTTCCTGAAAATTGCTGATTCTCACATCCTAATCATCCCTCCAAACCTCTCGTCCCCTAAAAATAAAAACCAATACAGTGGCAAAATTTTTTTGAAAGGCAAAGAATGATACCATTATATCTTGGTTTCTGGGGATGACGACAGGCAGAGAGACCAGTATTCTTCAGAATGCTCTCCTCCTACTGCGGTGAAGTGCACCTCTCCAAGGACTTCTTTGGGATTGGACATAAACTCAACACAGTGTACATCTCATGTGCTGTTAAATCTCTTCAGGACTTGTAGTGTTGACACTCCTGTTGTTTCCCTTCCGGGCAGGTTGGGCTAATATTTCCCATCTCAACTGAAACATATTTTCTCTGTTGACAGAGACCAGATACTGCTACACTCAGCATACAATGGAAGTCACGGGAAACAGCATCTCTGTCACCAAACGCTGCGTTCCACTGGAGGAGTGCTTGTCGACTGGCTGCAGAGATTCTGAGCATGAAGGCCACAAGGTCTGGGCAACAAAGCAAGTGACGGGTACAGCATAGTCAGCCTTCCTCCACTGCAGATGCGTGCCAGAGCTCATGAGCAAATTCTCACTCCCCAAAGTAGCCTGGCTTTTGACTGTGTTTAAAATACCATTATGTGAAGATTCTCCTTTCCGGTTTGCTCAAAGAGGATAAATTTAGAGCAGAGCATAGGAAAACCAGTATAAATTATGTAAACACAACACCAAGAGGGTATTGAAAGTTATTGTAAGCCCTTTCTTTACTCAGAAGAAAGTAATAAAGCCACCAGAAGGAAGAGGAATGAGGGACCAGCTATGTCCTCAATGGTAAAGCATTGCAGATGTAGCAACAATTCATTCGGCCAAGAATGGCCACAGCAGGTTAGCTTTGATAACTGTCTGTGAAGTGAGGCTCGTGTCTTCATTGGAATGCTGACTTGGGGAAGGCATCCATTGGCTCCTGAATCATTTGAGGAGGTGATCAGAGAACCATCTCCTTGTGGGTTTACTCCACTTAAACTCCATCCGGTGCCGATACAGAAGCATTGAGTGTAAAATGAACTTCAAGTGCAGCCTTGAAGGAGAATATAAAGGACCAGAGAAAGGCAGCCTGACTGTGGTTGGAGTGGGGAATGCCCCCGATCTCCTGCTGGCTGTTCGGAGCTGGCGCCACATATAATCTTACATATCAGGCCTTGGCCTTTATTTGGAGTTGGCTCGCTTCTCCCCATCAGGCTGCCTTCCTGGTGGTCGGAGGCAACTTCTACTCTCAAAATCCTGCAATGCCATGTTTAGTGGCATTTAGTAGAAGACACCCAATTTTCAAGCAACTTGAAATACACTAAGTGTACACTTAGTGAAATACACTAAGAATTCAATTTTAAAATATGATCTGCAGCTCCTGGTTTGAAATATAAAAGGTAAACTCAAGGGTTTTACCTCATTCCCTGCCACACTCCCAGCAAGCCTGGCTCTCAGGCTTTATTGTGGCTACTTCACCATGGATAAAGTTAAAGATCAGAGAAGTGACATCATGTGCTCAGGTCACAGAGATGGTAATTATGTCTGACAGAGAGAATTCAAGCTCACTTCTGACCTTCAGTTTCTCTCCTCAAGATTATAATGTCTTCCTAGCCCAAGTCAACTGTGACCAGCCTCAAATCCTTGCAGGATAATGACTCAATAGGATATTGACCATCAGAGAGTTTTTCGAATATTACTGTGCATATGGATCAGTTGGGGATCTTGTTAAAATGCATATTCTGATTCGCTAAAGTTGGGGTGAGGTTTGAGATTCTGCATTTCTAAGAGACTCCCAGGTGATGCTGAAGCTACTGATCTGTACTCTTTGTAGCCATGGCCCAAAATAATTTCAGCCAACAGTCCTTTAGGTTTCTCTCTTCCTTACAGTTCCTTAATAAAGTAGTACAAATCAGTAATAATTGCATTAATGAAAACCCTCCAAACTTTAACTCTCCCACAAGAATGGTGGTAGTTATGTAGACTGTTCTAATGAAAGTAAATAGTTAAGTTTAAGTTGGGTTGTTTCCACTTCACTTACACTATGGAAATTTGGCAAGTGAAAGCTTACCCTCTGAACAGCTTCTTCAAATAGTCAGAAGGGGTTTCTTTGAGATTGTAGGGTATTATAATCCCCATTTCACAGATGGAAAAGCTGAGACCTAAGAAGGTTGTAGAACCCTGTAATAACCATCTGGTGGGATGTCAAAAACAGAACTCGTGTTCCTTGAAGCTTAGTCCAGGGGGTTTTTAAGTTGACCGCATTGCTTCCAGTTGAAATTTCATTCCACTTCCTTGAATGCAGGGTTGGTGCCTCTTTTGTGGAACAGGTAATTGTCATTTCAGTCTTACTGTGAGGGAGACCGTTCCTTCCAAAATCCTTGTCTCCTTCCAAGATCTGCCAGCTTCTCATCAGCCTTCTGTTTCTCTTCCTTTCTTTCAGGTCTGCACTTCCTGTTGTGAAGGAAATATCTGTAACTTGCCACTCCCCCGAAATGAAACTGATGCCACATTTGCCACAACGTCTCCCATAAATCAGACAAATGGGCACCCACACTGCATGTCACTGATGGTGTCCTGCTTGTGGGTGTGGTTGGGACTCACATTATAGCGGCTGCGAGGCGCCATGTATAGTAGCAATCCATGGGGATCGCCATGGTCCATGGTCATGCATGAGTCGTTGGCTTGACAATAGTTACACGTGCGAAACCATGACACTCACAGATGTCTTCACAGCCAGGCATTTCCACCTATCATGAGGAACAAGCATTGCTTCAGGGTAGTCATTTCAAGTCCAAGACCTCATCAAAGCCAGCCTGCCCCCAAAACAGACCCTGAGTTTTATACCACAGACCTTTCTTTTCACTCCAGGAAATAGTTCTGCATTTTTATTGAGATCTGAGGCTCTTAATTTGGAATACATACATGAGCCATAGGAGGTTCTGGGACCCTCTGAGATGTTAGACAGTATGTTTATATGGACATGCATAGATGTGTATTCTTTAAGAGAAAGGTAAAGGACCACTGGTTTAAATATAATCATGAATTTATTTATAGCTTTAGAATTTTAAAACTTTGATTCCAAAATGAATGGACTGTTTCCTTGGAGATTCTGACTGAGTCCCTGGAAAAGTAGTAAGCAGTTGTCCAATTTAATTTTTCCCACATTCTTCTCCCAGTGGTGGGAATCATATTCCCTCTGCTCTGTGCAGAAAATAAAAGGCAATCGTAAGTTTGTTGCATAGGGGGAGGGGTAGCTGGAGAGGATCTTTCCCAACTTAATGGAACTGGCATCCATAAAGTAGCTGCATATCCTTTCATTATAATTGGTGAGATTGGCCTTGATTTGGCACCTCATTGTGCTCCATGAGATCCTGAATTCTACCTGGGCCAAAGGGTATCCAAAAAGTCCCAAAGCAGGATAGAGTTTTCTCCACTCATGGGGTTCTATTCAGGCATAGCTAAACTAGACAGAGAGAGGATTTCAGAATGCAAGGAAAGAGATGTGTGGTGGTTGACCCAAGTTCACTGTGAGGGCCCGGTCAGTGGCTTAGCCAGATCTCCCATCTGCACTTCATACTGCCAGAGAGCCCTCCCAGGTTCTTCCTCTTTCAAATCCCCAGGGACTTTAAGGATCGCATTATCTCAAGATTGATAGGGAAAGAAGACATAATATCCCAGGAGGAGAAGTAGGTGGGCCAGTTGGGTGATGGTGAGACTAGTAAGGAGATCCAGTGGGAATTTTTCTTTCTTTTGGGTGATTGCTTTTGAAGTAGATGGTAAAATTTTTGCCATCCTTCCTATATTTTTGGCCTGAGTTACAACTTGTTCTTCTTCCTTGTAAATCATTTATACAATATTTATTTTTATATGGCATAACTAGAAACTTAAATATATTATAAAATATTCTTTATTCTGAACAAAATGACCAAATTAGAATACTTATTTTTCAACAGTGGTAGAACTTGTAATATATGTTTGTTCAAAGTTATCTATAATACTTGCACCAGTGTTGAAAAAAATTTAACTTATGTTTGAGTAAGAGGAGTGTGTTGGCCTCAAGGGTTTTTGCTCACTGTTTCCTCAGTGGTATTGTCCCAGAAGTGTTCAGGTGGTGACCATCAATGGTATGAGTTACTCTGCAGGGTTATGGGACATATTTGCATGAAATTTGGTGGAGCCATTGCGGATAAAGAGGAGAGTATTGTCAGGGTCCATCTTCCTTGCACAGGAAAATGTCTGTGGCTCATAAAATGAGACCTCAGGGATTACCAAATATGAACTGACAGTGGTAACTCTGATATGAAATAATCTAAATGGCATCAAATGGCCTTAAATCAGAGTTTGGTAGGCTTATCAATATGTTACTTATAATTGGGGTGAGGGAAGTAAAGGGAGAGAAAAGATATTTACTAAACACCTCTTATGTGGCAGGCACTATGCTAAGCACTTTATATATATATATATATATATATATATATATATATATATATACACACATACATATACACACACACACACACACATTAAGTCATATAAAACTTGCAAGCACCCTCTAGGGAATATTACTAGTATTTTCACTTTACAGATGAAGGTACTAAGGCTCTAAGAAGCTCAATAACAGAAAGCCTTTTCCTTCCAATTTAGGATATATAGGGTGAGGTGGGATTGAAGAGGGAAGGGAAGATGAAATTACCACCCCTAGGAGAACTTCCACACCTGGCCACGGGAATCTGTCCATCTGATCATGTGGAGTTTGTCTAGTCCTGCCTCGACAGGATGCCATTTGTGTGTGTCCCCTAGATGGTGTTTTTTTCTTCAAGGGGTGGAGGGTACAGCTTCCAAGTTCATTCCTCTTGCTAAAAGAGGTGGCAGGTTAGCTGCTATAAATACTCTAAGACAGTGAAAATTTGATGTTGTACATATCTACAAGTACCATTTTTGTGCATGGCCACTCTCCACTGATACCTGCCAAGTACTGCATGCAATTTGAGTAAGAGACAAAGTCCAAATGTTGGTTCTTAATGAGAAAGTGACCACTCCAAAGCCTCCCTGTCTGGTGTGAGGGACAGGGTCCACAGGGATGCGAACTCATCTGCCCCCCGGGAGAATCACTGCAAACTCTACACAGATGTGACCGCACGCACCTCGTGTGCCTATCAGAATGGCTGGTGTTTCGTTCTCTTGAAAGAAAGTGGTTTGCTCGCCATCCCCAGCCTCAAGGAGCCAAGGAGTTCATGTGGAAGGCTCAGGACTGGTCATCCGTGTAACTTTTCTACCACATTAAACTTTCCATTAAATCCCACGGTTGGTGATGGCTTGAAGTGCAAACAGCCATGATGTGTACATTAACCTATGTGCAACTTATTTATTTTCAGACTCCCCATTGCATTCATGTCAATATGGGATTAATGCCTAAATTTTGTAAATATTGTACATTTTGTAAATCAATGAATAAAAGTTTTAAGTGTATCTCACCAGGTTCCTCCCTGCAAATGTGCATGTCAGTCAGTGATGAAGGCACTCAGGTTATCTATAAGGTGTAGGGCTTAGGAGCACAGAGAACTTCCTTCCAACAGCTCATTTTCTTGTTGTACAGATAAGAAATACATGCATGAAAAGATACAAGACAATTCACTCACGCCAAATGATTCATGTAGACAGTAAGTGCGGCAGAAAATCAAAGAGGGAAAGATTACCAGACTTTTTAATCAGGTCTGCAGTTTCTCTAGAGCATTTTCTTTGTTAAATTGGGAAAAATAAAAGTGTGTGTGCATGTGTGTTTCTAAATACTATCCCATTAACGCTTAATTTTTAAATCTTATTCTGTTCTGTTAATGATGATAAAAATAGAAAGTGTTTTCCGTTGATGGTTTCTTCTGCAACAGGAAACAAACATTTGAATAGTATAAATGTTTATCTATACACTGAATTCATTTTATTTTTCATAGTAAAATTGTAGATATTGAAAGTGACCTTGAAAAACTTTGGCTTGTTTGTGATTTCTGGTCATTCCCATTTATTTATTTATTTATTTATTTATTTATTCATTCATTCATTCATTCATTTTTAAATTGAGGCATATTGACATATAACATTTTATTAGTCTCATGTCTGCAACGTAATGATTTGACATTTATATACATTGTGCAATGGCCACCATAATTCTAGTTAACATCTGTCACCTTACATAGTTAGAAGTGCTTTTTTTTCCTGATAAGAACTTTTAAGATTTTCTCTCAGTATCTTTCAAATATACAGTGCAGTATTATTAACTATAGTCACTATGCTGTACAACCCCATGACTTACTTATTTTATAACTAGAAGTTTGACTTTTTGACCCCCTCCACCCATTTCTCCCATGCCCCTCCGCCTTTGGTAACCACCAGTCTATTCTCTATATCTATGAGCTTGGTTTTTTTATTTGTATGTTTTTCAGATTCCACATGTAAGTGAAATCATATGGTATTTGTCTTTCTCTGACTATTTCACTTAGCATAATGCCCTCAAGTTCCTTTCATTTTGTCAAAAATGGCAAGATTTCATTATTTTTATGGGTGAATAATATATACATATATATTTATGGGTGAATAATATATATCTATATATATCTGTATATGTATACATACATACATATATATATCTTCCTTATCCAATTATACATTAACGGGCACTGAAGTTGTTTCCATATTTTGGCTATTATAAATATGGCTTCAATGATCATGGGGGGGCACATAAATCTTTCGGAGTTAGTGTTTTTATTTTCTTTGGGTAAATACCCAGAAGTGGAATTGCTGGGTCATATGGCATTTCTATTTTTAATTTTTTGAGGAACCTACATACTGTTTTCCCCAGTGGCTGTACCAATTTACATTCCCACCAACAGTGTACAAGTGTTCCCTTTTCTCTACATCCTCACCAACACGTGTTATTTTCTTGTCTTTTTGGTAATAGCCATTCTGACAGTTGCAAGTTGATATCTCATTGTGGTTTTGATTGATTGGTATTTCCCTGATGATTAATGATGTTGAGCATCTTTTCATGTGTCTGTTGGTCATCTGTATATTTTTTTATATAAAAATGTCTATTCAGGTCCCATGCCCAATTTTTAATCAGATTGGATTTTGGGGGTCAAGTTGTATAAGTTCTTTATGTATTTTGGGTATTAATACCCCTGATTGGAAGTAGTATTTGCAAATATCTTCTCCCATTCTGTAGTCTGCCTTTTCGTATTTTGGTGGTTTTCTTCACTATGCAGAAGCTTCCTAGTTTGATATAGTCCCATCTGTTTATTTTTGCTTTTGTTGCCCTTGCCTGAAGAGACAGATCCGAAAATATATTGCTTAGACTGACGTCCAAAAGTTTACTGCCTATGTTTTTTTTTTTAGGAGTTTTATGGTTTGGAGTCTTACATTAGGTCTTTCATCCATTTGGAGTTTATTTCTGTGTATGGTGTGAGACAGTGATACAGTTCCATTCTTTGGCATGTAGCTGTTCAGTTTTCCCAGGGTATTGAAGGGACTGTCTCTTCCCCAGTGTATATTCTCGCCTCCTCTGTTGTAGATTAATTGACCATATAAGCATGCACTTGTTTCCGGGCTGTCTGTTCTGTTCCATTGATTTATGTGTGTATGTTTGTGCCCATACTATACAATTTTGATAACTATAGCTTTGAAATCAGGGGGCATGATGCCTCCAGCTTTGTTCTTCTTTCTCAAGATTGCTTTTGCTACTCAGGGTCTTTTGTGGTTCCATACAAATTTTAGGATTGCTTGTTCTATTTCTATGAAAAATGCCATTAGAATTTTGATAGGAATTTCATTGAATCTCTAGATTGCTTTGGGTAGTATGGACATTTTAACAATATTGATTTTTCCAATCCATGAGCACAGAATATCTTTCCTTTTTTTGTGTATGTTCAAGTTCTTTTATTAATGTCTTGTAGTTTTCTGTGTATGGATCTTTCGCCTCCTTGGTTAAGTTTATTCCTAGGTATTTTATTCTTTATGATGCAATTGTAAGTGGGATTGTTTTCTTATTTTCTCTTTAGTATATGTAAATGTAACAGATTTTTGTATATTGATTTTGTATCCTGCAACTCTATTGAATTGTTTTATTAGTTCTAATAGTTTTTTGGTAGAGTCTTTAGGGTTTTCAATATAGTATCATGTCATCTGCAAAGAGTGACAGTTTTACTTCTTCCTTACCAATTCGGGTGCCTTTTATTTCTTTATCTTGCCTAATTGTTCTAGCTAGGACTTCCAGTGCTATTTTGAATAAAAGTGGGGAGAGTACACATCACTTTCTTGTTCCTGATCTTAGAGGAAAAACTTTAAGCTTATCACCAGTGAGTATAATTTTAGCTATGAACCTGTCATATATGGCCTTTATTATGTCAAATTACATTCCCTCTCTACACACTTAGTTGAGAGTTTTTATCATAAATTGATGTTGAGTTTTGTCAAAAGCTTTTTTTTCTGCATCTATTGAGATGATCGTATGATTTTTATTGTTTATTTTGTTAATGTGGTACATCACATTGATTTGTGGATATTGAATCATCCCTGCATCCTCGGAATAAATCCCACTTGATTGTGGTGTATGTTCCTTTTATTGTATTATTGAATTTGGTTTGCTAAAACTTTGTTGAGGATTTTTGCATCTTTGGTTCATCAGAGAAATTGGCCTGTAATTTTCTCTTCTTGTGGTATCCTTGGATCTATATTAGGGTAATGCTGGCCTCAAAAAATGAATTTGGAAGCATTCTTTTTTCTATTTTTTGGAGGAGTTTGAGAAGGATTGGTATCAGTTCTTCTTTGAATATTTGGTATAATTCACCAGTGAAACCATCTGGTTCTAGACATTTGTTTTTTGGTAGGTTTCTGATTACTGATTTAATTTCCTTACTATTAATCAGTCTCTTCAGATTTTCTCTTTCTTTATGATACAGTCTATAAAAAGACTTTATGATACAGTCTTTATGATTATTGGTAGGTTGTATGTTTCTAGTAATTTATCTATTTCTTCTAGATTGTCAAATTTGTTGGTGTGTAATTATTCATAGTAGTCTCTTAAGATTGCTTGTATTTCTGTGATATCAGTTGTAACTTCCCCTCTTCATTTCTGATTTTATTTGAATCCTTTCTTTTTTCTTGGTGAGTCTAGCTTAAGTTTTGTCAATTTTGTTTATCTTTCCAAGGAAGAGCTCTTGAGTTCATTGATCTGTTCTATTGTCTTATTAGTCTCAATTTCATTTATTTCTCACTGATCTTTGTTGTTTTCTTCCTTTTCCTAATTTCAGCCTTTTTTTTTTTTTGGTTCTTCTTTTTCTAGTTCTTTGAGGTACAAAGTTAGATTTTTTTGTTTTTTTCTTATTTCTTGAAGTAGGCATTTATTTCTATGAGTATCCCTCTTAAACAGCTTTTCTGCATCGTATAAATTTTGCTATGTTGTATTTCCATTTTAATTTGTCTTAAGGTACTTTTGATTTCTCCTTTGATTCCTTCTTTGACACATTGGTTGCCCAATAGCGTGTTGTTTAATATCTACATTTTTGTGGCTTTTCAAGTTTTCTTCTTGTAATTGATATCTAGTTTCATACCACTGTAGTTGGAAAAGATACTTGATATGATTTCAATCTTCTTACATTTATTTAGACTTTCTTTGTGGCCTAACATATGATATGTCCTGGAGAATGTTCCGTGGGCACTTGAGAAGAATGTGTATTCTGTTACTTTTGAATGAAATGTTCTGGATATATCTGTTAAGTCCGTCTGGTCTAACATGTTGTTTAAGGCTAATGTTTCCTTATTGATTTTCTGTCTGAATGATCTATCCATTGATGTAAGTGGGGTATATTAAGGTCCCCTACTATTACTGTGTTGCAGTAATCCATTCTTCACCCTAGTTCATATTTCTTCCTTTAGGTCTATTAATATTTGTTTTATATATTTAGGAGCTCTTATGTTGAGTGCATAAATATTTACAATTGTCATATCCTCTTTTTGGATTGACCCCTTCATCATTATGACATGCCTTCTTTGTCTCTTAATACAGGCTTTGTTTAAAGCCTATTTTGCCTGATATAGATATTGCTACCGAAGCTTTCTTCTGATTTCCATTTGCATGGAATATCTTTTTCATCCCTTCCCTTTCAGTCTGTGTGTTCTTACCTGTGAAGTGAATCTTTTGTAGGTAATATACAGATGGGTCTTGTTCTTTTGTTCATTTTTTTAAATTCATTCAGCCATTCTATGTCTTTTGATTTCAGAATTTAGTTCATTTACATTTAAAGTAATTATCAAGAGGTATGTGCTTACTGCCATTTTGTTAGTTGTTTTCTGGCTGTTTTATAGTTACTCTCTGTAGTATCTTCTTCTCTTGCTCTCTTCCATTGTGGTTTGGTGATTTTGTTTAGTAGTAGCTTAGAATCCTTTCTTTTTATCTTTCATGTATCTACTATAGGATTTTG